CAAAGCATTTTCTTATAGTTCTTTAAAATTCTATGACTCTTTTTAAACGCAATTATTGTTAAAAGTTTCTATGTATTGAGAGCATTGTCATTGAAAACCACCGAATTTCAACACATAGCATTCCGAAAATGTTTATTTACACTTTTTTTTCTTATCCTGCAGCATTTCATTTCGACTAGGCTGATAAGAATACTTGATAAATACAAAGTCCGAGTTCAAGAAGTTGTCAGAGTTTAATTGTAGTTGGGACTTGTGAAAACGCGGATGCGCTTCCTTTGCTCCGCGCTTTACGTTGTTGTGTTGTGGTGTGTTCAAATAATTTTGACGCGGATCGAAAACGATTTTTAAACGTAACAGAGGAATTGAGGCGAATGGACGTAATGGATTTTTAGCGATAGCGATAAGTATTCGCTTAATACCTCGTTTTTCGCTCATTATTTTTACAATCAGACGTATAAGTGAGTACAAATGAAACAATTAAAATGTTTATATTTAGAGAGCAATGAAAACAGTTAATGCTTAGAATTCTACGTCTATATAGACTCAATGATTATTGTATAAGTAGTGCACAAAGGGTCGAACATCAGTTGTTAGTAAGGTCCTTGCTGATGTGGGCATCGTTCATTTTGGTGCATCAGTCCTCTTTGATTTGTGAAAGTGTTTGGTGTTACAGTGACGGCCAATAAAAATCAGACATTTCGTCTTTTTGGATAAAAATTTCTTCAGTAAATTGTAAGTTATTAAAAATACTATAGGGTGCGTAAAGTATTTGAGAACAGATTTATTATCATTTCTGAAAAATTTTAAGAATTGAAGACATTATATTTCTTTGTAAAATTATTCAATAAAACTACCGTCGTCAATACTTGCCTCTATACAAGATCTAAATCGTAGATATGCTTCAATTAAATGATTTTGATTCATAGCAGACATCTAACTCTACAACGCGTAATAACCCAAGGATTTGAGGTCCAAAGAGTTAGGAATTCTTTTGTAAGTGACCGCATTGATTTTCTGGGATCATAATTAATGTTTTGTTAAACTCGTTGAACAAATTCACTTCTGTTATGTTACCATCTTTGTTCTCCAATTCCTTACAAGCGACTTTCAGAAATCGCGATACAGGGGAACCTCGCTTAACGAGTTTAATTCGTTCCAAAATTTCCGGATTTTTAATCGTGAAATACTCGTATAGTAAACATATTAAAAATACACATAATATGTGTTTAAAAATGATGCAGCAGGCGCGCAATCCGGCACTTCTCTTCTCATCGTCACTCGTTATGCGAAACGTCGCTCGTTAAGCGAGTCATTTTTCTTACAATTTATTTTGCTCGTTAAGCGAAATACTCTGTATACAAATTAAATATTAGCTTTGTTATTACCGTTAATTTCAATGCAAACAATGTTATTTTGAACATCTGTTTGACAACAAAAAAATTGCGAACTATAAAAGCCGCTTTTAATTCAATCAAGTCGATTTATAACGACGGAAATGATCGTTCAACGAACAATAAACTTGCGAAGCAGTGAAAGAATGAACATTGCGTGTTGCGCAACGGCTACTAAACAGAAAATTGCAATATTATTCATTTATCTATCTATTTTGGATATTTATTTTTCTCTTTTCGTGTTTGTTTTTTTTGTGTTGTTATTGTCATTCACCTCATTGACTGATTGAATGAATGCGGAAAGCACGGAATGAATGAACAAAAACGACAAGTCATTATTAAAATTGTTACGCAAACATGTTTACTTTTTGGTTGTTTTTGTTTTATTTTTTCTTCTGTACGGAATGTTCTAACGTTAAGTGGGGAAATTTTGTTTATTCTACTTGGTTTTTGTTTCCTTGATGATTCGATCACATTATATCGTTTTGTTGCACGCTTCGTATAAATTTAATACTAATTCAAATAAGCTTACATATGGCGTTTCATAAGAAATAAGTTGAAGATAAATAAATACTGAATTAAATCAACAATCATGCAACAAGTATGACCCTTTTATCAAAGATTACTGAAAAATAATAAACAAACTTTCAAAATAATTATTGAATGATGAGAGGATTTCTAAAAAAACAATTGGACTAATTTCTTGGATCGTTTTGTTTGAAGACTTTGTAAACGTAGTGATTTATGTTTAATTACAGAAATAATTTACTGAAACTCAAAATAGAAAAGTAAAACAAGTAAAAGGAGTCAAAGGAGACAAGTAAAACAATGTAATATAACAAAAAAATGAATATACATAAGCCTCTGTCCGAAAATATGGTATACATTTACGAAAAAAATGAAATAAAACTAAAATTAAATATTAAATTCATTTTATCATAATATAACTAAATACAAATTATTTTAGTGTAATTCAAATTTAGTTAAAGTGAGATTTAGCTTTGTTGATCGCTTCTTTTCAACAAATACATTTTGTATATATTTAAGTAAATCGACGACGACAAAACTTCGTCCTTATTTATATGAGGGAATTTCTTCCTCCTGATAACATAATTGATTCCATAGTAGTGGTACTTGTTGTGACTTAAATTGAATAATCTAACCTTCACTGTAAAACAGCTATTGCAAGATACCATGACATTGTTCATTAATCAATTGCTTCGATTTGGCATCTCTTCTTTGTAAATTCACATTATTTGGGTTAAAATTTTCCATTTTGAAATTACATTGGTGACTATTATATTTTTTTCGAAAAAACTAATTTTTGGTCTTCAAATTCCAACTTAACTCAAAAGCAACGACTGTCAAATATTTTATATTATTTAATTATCAATATAAACAATACCAATATAATGAATAATGATAGTTGCTTTCGAAACTCTACATAATCTAAGACTTTCTTACAAATGTATACCATATTTTCAGACAAAGGGAATACATTATATCAAAGTGACAAAGTTGAAGTAATATATAAAAAATAATGTAAAAAATTACAATATTTATTATATTTTGGTTATATTTTATGTGTTATCTTTGAAACACTATTTATTAATAATAATAACAAATGCATCAGTCGTACAAAAAAACATATATAATTTCAAAAAAAGTCAACTAATGTAAAGGGCTATGAGCATAGGTTTTTCTGTCCTCTATTTAGTATTAATTTTATCTAATACATAAATTTTGCAAAATTCAGCTAGTTAAATATAATTTAAGTTAAGTTCAATATAATTCAGCTTTTCTAATCATTAATTTGTGATATTATTTAAAAATTAATACATTATTTTCTTCATTATTATATTCTGAACACAAGATATTTATTTAAATATTTAAAGCTGAATAATATAGACTAAAAATATATTTTTTTACGGTAATGAAAAAAACTAATAAAAAAATAAATAAAATATTCATTAGCTTTGAAAATATATTTAAAATGTGGTTGTTAAATAACAATAGACCTTTTTTTACAAAAGTATCTACATTTTTTAATTAGTTTTGTTATCAATTTCGAGGTCATATAAAGTATGAATAATTTTCCTACTTGGTTTAATTTATACTTGTTACTAGTTTAAGTTATAAGTAACCAGTATACTCATCCATTTGGTAAGATGATAATCGAATTCGTACATTTCATAAATTATAATAATGTTTATTGCATCAGTTCAAAAAAAAAACATATACTGTAATAAATAAAAAACTAAATAAATATATATAATTTCAAAAAATTATACCAAGGGCTATTGACAGCATTTATTATTATTATGTTACAATTATAACAATTTGTTAAGAAAACAAAATATGTCTATTATTAATTAATTTATAATTCAACAATTTCCTCATAAATCTGTCAGTTTTATCGAAAAACAATTCAATAATAATTATTAATATTACTACAATATAACTAAAACAAATATTGTCATTAGTGATAGCAAAAGTATGATTTGAAAGAATTTATCTCAATTTAGTTCTAATTGTGGAATCAGTAGTTACTTGAACAACATATTCTTGATAAGCAATAGTTAATCTTCGAAATCAGAGCAATTACTTCTAATAATAACCGAATCGAAGGTTACCTGTTCGAATATAAACGAAAGAATAAGTAAATGCATGGTAATAATAAATTATATAAAACGAGTTAAAGCTTAACTATTTAATTAGTATTATAAAGAATAAATAGGAAACTTAATATAAATGTGTTTTGTATGAGTTAATTATACTGTTATGAACTGTAATAAGTTCAGCAATTAGAGAACCAGCGGATGATATAATTAACAATCTGGCAAAACGATTTGCTACAGTTAACATAACGCACAATGCAGTAGTATTTTTTTTTTTTTAAATAATTTTAATTAATATATTTGATGCATTGCTGTACAATGCGAAAATTCGATAATCTCATATTAAAACTCAATTACTATTGATTGAGCAATCAGTCCAGAAACAATGCATAATTACAATTCATCATCGAGTCACATTTGTTATTCATTTTACTGAGAAATATTGTATATCAAAACACTTGTCAAAAAAATTTCTTACGTCTTAAATTGTTATTTTTTTTTATTCCTACGGTAATAACAAATTGAGATTTCGATTTGGAATTTCCGACTGCCAAAGATTTCTATTCCCACGTCAATAACAACAGTAACAACAATGATCATCATGTGGAGCGAAATTGAAGGAAGGAGAATTCGGGTTTTAAAGAAATCTTCAAACCCGAGGCGATTCATGCATCGCAAACGGTACCCAAATACCACCACGAAAATCGAACGCGTTAGTTTCGAGAAAGGATTTGTTTGTTACTGATTTGGATATGGGTTTTGAGTAAAAGTGTGTATTTTTCGGGCGGATGTGGTGAGTTCATATTCGATTTCCCATTTGGAATTCTTGCATATCCGATCAATGATAATATTCAATTAAACGTTATTATAACAGCGCTTAATTGATTGGTGCAATTATGAAGAGTGCTTCCTTATGTTTTTATGTTTGTTTTTTTTTGTGTGTGTTGTAATTATATTTATTGTATTTTTCTTTCTTTCTGTTGTTCTTCAGGTGCCGTTTCTTCAGGTAGTAAAAACATGCCTGCGAAGAAGTGCTGGGGCAACGATGAGCCCATCCAGCTCTACGTCGTGCTGACATTGACCATCATCTACTTCATTTGCGAACTGGTCTTGAGCCACGTTACGCACGCCCTCGCACTCCTCATGGACTCGTACCACATGTTATGCAACATCATGGCCTTAGCCGGATGCATTATAACCATTAAGGTAACTAGCCTTTCGTCATTCAAATTATATTACAATATAATCGTTAGTAATCGAAGTGAATTCATTTGACATCTATTTTTGAATCTGCAACGAACGTTCAAACAAATCATCGATTTTTTTTATTGATAATAATAACATTTATTGCAACAAATCACCATACTACAAACTCAACAACTTAACATAATAAGAAAATAAAAATAAATTGATCTGCTGCAAAGGGCTTATGAATAATATTAACATCGATGAGCAAAAAGGAAGAAATAACATAGTTTTTACTTTCAAATAATTTATTTAAAATATTGGGGCAACCTTGACATTCTATATTTTTTAAAACTATAAGACAAAATTTTTACTTAGAATTGCGGTACATCTTATATAATAGTTTCCAAATTTAGCCTACGTTTTTCATCCAAAACATAGATTGGGAAATAATAGTATAAATATTCACTAATAAAAACAAATAGAACATCGTTAGTGAAGAGAGGTAAAAGGGCTTTTATAATAAGAGAATATTCAAATCTTTAAACCTGTGTATGTAAATATTTAAATTTTATTTTATTTCAATAAATATTACAGCATCAGGTGGAAAAACTGCGGTCAATAGCCCATTGTATATATGTTTGCATGTATGCAATAAATTACTGTTTTTATTGTTGTTGCCGCAATTGCGTGAGAATGCTTATAATATTTATTTTCCTATGTTTACGTATAATATCTAAGTACGTTCAATAATCGAAGTAATAGCTATTTTTCGTTGACTGTCGCATTGCAAAAATTGACGTCTTTGCAAGTATTCATCCTTCACATAAAAAAAAACAGGAAAGTTACATAATTCAGAAAAGATTTGCCGTAAGAGGATGTTTTGGATGTTTAACTATAAGTTAAAGTTTGCCGTGATATAAAAAAAAGTTGAAAAATATTGGCTTGCTTGACCTTAAAAAAATAAATTATATAGTTAATATACTGTAGTTCAATTTCTAATATGTCTAAGTTTGATTTTTGGATGACACATGTCAGATAACATGGTTAATTTGACACAATGATATGTTGAAGAATTTGAGATTTTACAGATATTTGTTGTCTGTGGCAAGAGATAAAAAAAATGGTTCTAAAGGATGTTTATTATATTTTGAAGTGCATTTTCTCCTTCAGTTCTAAATTGATAAGATTAGCTATATAATTCAGATTGTTTAATTTATATAGTAACCTATTTTGCTGATTATCACAATTTAAGAAATGAAACATAATATTTTTTTATTTCACAAAATTTCTTTGCATAAGTCCTTCACATGCTCGTTCTTGCAGTTAATCCTTGGCTTTATATTATATTTCCGGATATAAAGGACTTTAATTATGATTGCTTCCAATCACATGTTCTTGTTGCGAAAAGTGTAAAATATTAACGGAAGAAAGAATTAATATAAGTTAATAGTGTATAATAATATTTTATATACATGTAGTCTAAATATTACTAAATTATTACTAAATATTATTAATATTACACAATTATTTAAAATTATTTTATTTTATATGTAATTTCAATAATAAAATGAAAAAAGGACAGTGGAACCTCACTTAACGAGCAAAATGAGTTGTAAGAAAAATGACTCGCTTAACGAGCGAAGTTTCGCATAACGAGTGATGATGAGAAGAGAAGTCCCGAATTGCGTGACTGCTACATCATTTTTAAAACTTGTATACACATATTATGTATATTTTTGAATATGTTTCACTATACGAGTAAAAGTCCGGAAATTTTGGAACGGATTAAACCCGTTAAGCAAGGTTCCACTGTATATGTATATTATATGTAATTGAATTTACTTAAAAACCAATCAATATTTTTGCTAAAAGTAAAATTGATTACTATTACTAATTACTATTTTCGATAATCTTTCATATAAGAAATGTAGAAATTATAGGACAATTGATTAATTATACCTTAATAAGAATTATACCACTTATTTCGTTATTTAAATATGCAAATAAAAGTTGAAAATAAAAATCTTGAAGCTGAAAATTCAATCTTAAGTATGAAATACAAAACATCATTTGAATGAAAATAGGTTGTATTACTCCAATATTTGCTTATCCTTTTTTTTAACATTTCTATACAGTGGCTCATAAAAAAATAGAATCGTGTTGAAAAATAATTATTGACACATAACTTTTTTCTTTTATAAATTAATCAGTTATAAAGGCACTTAAATTTAAGTACCGCATTGTTTCATAAGAAACATGCTCTTATTTGAATTCCCTTTTCATTTTATTTATGAATTTCTATACGTCTAGTAAATATTTTAAATTACATCATGTTCTTTGTTCAAATTGATATTATAAACACAATAGCCATTTGATTAATATTCATCTGCGACGGCGCCCCTTGGCATTATTAATCTATTTTTGATCAAATAACAAGGATATCTGATTGATAGGCAACCATATAAGCGTAATTTTAAACTAATAACTGAGGCTCGACGCGCACTCAATCGAAGGCTATGATTTCCTTAGACCGACTATATACTTGAAATATGCACTACATATATTAGATTAATGTATAGGTTTAAATAAATGTATACGAATATAGGATAACATATAATGAATTTTCCGTTTTGTTTCTTTAGCATGGAAAAAACAAAAATTCGACGGAGTGCAAGGAGCCTTCGAGCACGACGTCAAGCGTGGGTGATCTTCCTGCGATGGAAGTGAATTGCCAGGATTCTAAGAAGCAGATAGACAGAACGAAATCGTCTGCGCAAAAGGAAAAGAAGCTGAAGAATACGTTCGGATGGGCGAGAAGCGATGTGATTGCTATGCTGATATGTTGCGTATTTCTTGCTTCCTTGAGCTTCTCTATACTGGTAGAAGCTCTGCAAACGCTGTTCCACATAGACCATCAGCACGAGGTCCATCATCCGATCATTATGATTTGTTTTGGAGCGTTGGGACTTCTGCTCAATGGGATTTGCTATCTTCTGATTGGAGGTACATATTGTTAAGATGTGTATTAGAACTTGTGTTTTGATTGGTAATGTTCGCAGGTTACACTTTCCACCAAGGCAGTTTTCTTTTCGTGACGGAAAGCGGTGATGTTATTCTTAACAGGGTGGTGACGAACGAATCTGTAAGCCGCGGGGAAAGACGGCTGAGTCGCACGAAGAACATGCCAGTGCCTGTTGGAGTGAATCCTCCAACGCGCCAAAGGCAGGGTTTCTTGGAGATGGTTCGCGACATCATCGGGTGCATCTTCGTCATCATCACTGGTTTGGCCACGTACTTCTCTGAACAGAGCGTCGCCAAATATGTTGATCCTCTTTTGTCGATCACCTCCGCCGTAGTCCTGATGTGGCTCAGCTATCCGTACATGAAGGAGAGTTGCTTGATCCTTCTTCAAACCATTCCTGATACCATTAACATTGACTCGATGAAGACTCAGCTGATCCAGCACTTCCCCGATATCGTGAACGTGCACGATCTTCACATCTGGCAACTCACCGCCAGCAAAGTCATCTCTACTGCGCACATAATCTTCCAGAACCCCAAGGTTTACGCCAAAATCATGGACGATGTTAAGGAATTCTTCCTCGATCATGGCATCACGCAGGTTACCATCCAACCAGAGTTCTATACCAAATGCTCCAGCGTTGAGAGCCTCAACTCCGTTAACAAGCATCCTCTCTGTCTAGTCAAGTGTCAAGACGAGGCATGTGTCAATCAGCATTGCTGCCCCACACCTAATCTACAGGTAAAATATATTGTTTTCTAAAAGTTTAGAATATTTTACAGCATGGTTATTACAAATTATCCATTTTTTGAAATTTGACTTTCAAACTATAGAACAAAGTTATCAAGTTTTTCATGAATTCCTCGCTTTGACACATGGTGTCATTTTGCGACTCATTAATAATTAACGCGATTGATAGGTCGAGAAACACTGTTCTAATTGATTTTCATTTCAATTTACATAGAATTCATAGAAATAATATAAACGAACGTAGTGTGATGTCAGTAAACGTCTGTGCGCAGATTCATATTGTTTATTTGTCTTTTGTCTAATCCTGTTAATTGCTTATTTTTTCTTTTACCACTTATTTTATGGAAATAATGAATATAGCAATTCAATATCAATTAACGTACATTCATTTAGCGTTCTTCAATTTGTGTACGTATAATGTACTGAAAGCTGATTGACATTAAAAATATTTCGGGTGTATCTATTTATTTATTTCAATTATCATATGTTGTTGTTTTGCTTTGCAGATGATCAGTTCCAAGTCCAGAGAGGATCTGATAGCCGAAGTAGAAGTAGTATGCGAACCAACAACGGTCGAAGAAAACCAAGCTGTGTGATACAAAACAGAAATCATTGATTTTATACTAATTTTTTTGACGTATTTTTAACACTTCTGCGACGTGCAATTGTATAAAGAGAGATAAATTTTACTATTTATGACGATATCATTCCAAACATATATTTTTTATTAATTATAAGTACTGTTAATTTATTTATATTCTATTTTATTTGTCCTTCAACGTTTTACAAATATTTTGTTAGCTAATAGTGCAATTAAATAGGAAAGTCCAATTTGTGCGTTAAGTATGGAGTTGTTAAGTTTGTAAAAAATAAAACCATCTAGTTGAAAATTTTTATTAAGTAATAAAATTATATAAGGTCATATACTGAAGATAATTAGGAAAGCAGCGAAGCTATTAAAGTAAACAAATGAATTGTTTTGTACTATTTAATTGTTCGAATATATTTTTTTACAAGTATTAAGAATAGTATAACTGGTTTTCTGCGATATCCCACGATCAAATATTGTATATTATTGTTGCATGTATAATAAAATCATGATTATTCAAGAAATGAAAACGTTATTTCTGTTATGATACTTTGAAAATAAATGTATTAAAAATAAAATATAATTTTAAATGAATCATTTATAGTTTTCTTATGATTTCGTATAATTTTCAAACTTAATTTATTATATTTAATATGAGTTCATTATATTGTAAACGTCACTGATGTACTCCAGTATAAGCAATTATTAAACAGATTTTTAATGAAAAACAAATTGGTAAATATCGTGACTTTGAGATGTTTATATTTTTATATATATTGAGAATTATATTATAGAATCCTTAATATTCTTATAAAAATAGGAGATAAAAGATAATATTTACAGCGTATTAAAACATTGACTTAAAGAAACAAACAATTTGATTTTTATATATGTTTAATATTTACACAAATGTTATTAATTAAAAATTAATTTATGAGTTAACACATTGAAGGGCCAGAAAATCCTGATTTTATAGATCCAAGTGGTGCCAGACAACTTCGTCAACTGAATCAACATCGGAAGGTATGGATTCAAAATAAACATCATCTACTACCTTATACTAAGTGTGTGCAAAAGGAGGGACAATGCGTGTCCCACCGCCACTCAAAGAGTTAAGTCAATATAATGTTTTCTTCTTGAGAATGTTTCAATAAAAACTGTGAATTTATATATAATTAAATGGTGTTTAATTCAATGTTCATATCCATTGTTGTTTTGGTTTTGTTTTATAGATACTAAACGCATTTTGCAGCCTGTTTGCAATATAAGTGCGAGGCCTGATTGTTTTTTTTGCCGGGCACATCAAACTTTAGATAACAAAATTAGTTAACACTTAGAATTTATATATTTAAATACAGATTTTAAATATGTATTTAAAACTAAATCCAAAATCCAGTTATAAAAATCAAAAGTCATGAATTTCTACATTCTTCTTCACATGCCTTCCCACTTCACTTAGCTTGCGCAATTTCACCAGCCACTGTTTTGTTATTATAATACTCTAACTCTACTACAATTCATGACTGCTGCTAGCTCAGTTACTGGATGGAATTGGAGAGAATGGTGATCCACAAGTGGCGGCAAAGCGTAACAAAAAGTAACAATTTGGGGAGACCTTGGAAGGACAAAATATGAGTGAGTGGGAGTTAAACATTTAAAATTATATATCAATGCTCGTGTATATATCAGAACCTGGACTGATGTAATTTCTACATTAAAAAAATCTGTACCAAATATAAAAACGATGAATATAACTGCTGTGGGGCGCGATTTGGCGCAATCGTTCCAATCGACTCAAAGCTGACCCTTATTGCAAAATGTATTGTTTCTGCGCATTTTCTTTGATAATATTCCAATTCGAGTTTTGAGTCTAATATGTATAATATTTGAATAAAAAAAACTTCTAATTTTACTTACAATTGCATGATTGTCTACATTTGTAAATTTCTATCATGACTGGCTTTAATTGCCGATTTATGCATCATGATTTGTTTAAACGGATCTATATCGCAAAAGACCGTCTATGGAAATCCCGACGTTAAAAATCCCGGCTGTAGTAAAATTCCGACTATGTCAAAATCCTGACTACCATAATCCCGACAATCAAAATCCCGACTATATCGAAATCGAGATCTTGAGCCAGCCGCGATTTCGATACACTCGGGATTTCGAACGTCGGGATTTTGAACATCGGTATTTCGATAGACGGGATTTCGGTTGTCGGGCTTGCGATTGCCACCGGTTTAAACCTATATAATTCTGAACAAACAGCGCCATCTGTGTAAGACGAATGATATAAAAAACACGCAAATAGAGAGCTCCAATTTACAAAATATATTTAATAGTAATTTAATTTTGTAAAATTAAATATAATATCACACTAAAAATAGATTTATAATTTATTTCGTATAGATGTTAAAATTAATTTATTTATGGATTTTATGTGCAAATATTTTCAACTTTCGCAAAACACTTAATTGAAAATAATTTTACGAGTATGACGCAAGCGTCGTTTCGCTCCGTTCCGTTCATTTTAGCAAATCAATAATATAACCTGAATTTATTACTTCAGTTGTGTCACCTTTAGTTGGGTTCTGTTTTTATTTCTTTATTTATTTATTTAACAAATTAAAGTACGATAATGGGTAGAAGTAGTTGCACAAGAGAACGAATTCACTGATAGCTGAGATGGATTGCATATCTGGATTTTTATCTTTGATAAAACCTTGAGTACACAGGTTGAAAGTTCAAGATTCTATTTTCACTGTTTAATAATTGGCGGCCGCTATATTTACTTTTAATTAAACAGTACTTTAGCTTCTCTATCAGTTGTGGTTGTGCAATAGCAAATGTGCAATGGATCGACTGAATGAAGAAAATGTTATTTGTGGGGAGGAAGTGGAGATGTCTATTGATTCCAGCTTGGGTGAACTAGAACTGTTATTATTAAGGGCACATGGAGATAAAGTTGTACAGGTAATCATAGATTTTACATATATCATACTAATTATTAAACAATTTGTTACTTATTTAATCATCTCCAGTGTTAAATAGAGTATAAAGTATTAAAAAATATTTTTTTATTTAAAGTTATAGATTTTATTACCACAGAAATATTAATAATTAATGATAAGAGAGGGTTAAATGAAATATTTTATATTACACATATTGTTAAATGTGCAGATTAATTAGATAATTAAGTTTGTTTTATAGGTGGATGTAGAAACTGGTGAGAAGTTAACAGCAAGTTTAGCGTTGAACAGGGCTGTAGCATTGGCGAAATGGTTAATCCAGAATGGAGTGAAACCAGGAGACGCCATTTCAATCAACAGCGAAAACCGCCTGGAGTTCGTTATCGTGCCTTTGGCGACGTTTCTTGTCGGCGCTGTCTTCGCTCCACTAAACCCAGAATACACCACAGGTAAGAAATGATGAAGGTGTCAACGGAAAATGTTAATTACACATTATTTTGTAGGCGAATTGAATCATGTACTGAACCTGTCCAAACCAAAAATAGTCTTCTGCTCAAATCTAACTGTGAAAAATATGTTAGCTGTGATTAAAGATCAGTCAAACATCCAGAAGCTTGTTCTTTTTGGATCAAAAGTTTCAGCTAACTCTAATATCACTATGTACAGAGATATTATTAAGGGTATAATTTGCGAGTTTTTAATTGTTTTTTTGTATACTGATTGTCTTGTTTTTTTTTTTTGTAGAAGTGAAAGAGGATCAACCTGCGGATGAAGAATTTGAGGCTGTTCTTATTGATCCTAAGGAGGCGGTCGCAACAATTCTATGTTCTTCGGGAACAACCGGATTGCCGAAAGGCGTTATGACGACGCACTCTAACATGACTGCTTTCATAGAAATTGCTAGGTTTGAGGAGGTTTTAAAAATAATCTAATTGGATTTTGATTTTTCGTTTTTTAGAATCCGTATACAAGAAATGTTGGAATCAGAATCCAATAGTTCTGGTACTGTAACATTCGGGTTAACTCCGTTCTTCCATTCCATGGGCTTCATGTCTATGTACATGAACTTTATAGCAGGCAATCTTGTGGTTGTCATGAGAAAGTTCAAAACTAAGCTCTTCCTTGAAGGCATCGCCAAGTACAAAGTCACCACGCTTGTTGTGCCTCCGCCGATTATCCTCATTCTCAACAAGCATCCACTAGTAAAGAATTATGACTTGTCCAGTCTGAGAGACGTTAGGGCTGGAGCGGCGCCCATGGGCAAGGAAATGGAGAAAGAGGTTAAGGATCGCCTAAAGTTGCAACACATCTCGCAGAACTACGGTATGACCGAGACAACGCTGGGCGTTCTTATGACCAGGTATAATGAGTGCAAATTCGGCTCTGTTGGTCAGATTGTACCTACCATGAAAGTTAAAGTAAGTGAAATATTAAAGCAATCCCGTATAAATCCGTTTATTGGGAATAGATTGTAGATGAAGATGGTAGGGCTTTGGGACCAAACCAAGAGGGCGAGCTTTGCTTCAAGGGACCAATGATCATGAAGGGATATGTTGGAGACCCAGTGTCTACAGCGAACACTATTGACAAAGATGGTTGGTTGCACACTGGAGACATCGGTTATTACGATAACGATAAATACTTCTTTATTGTGGACCGCATCAAAGAATTAATAAAGTACAAAGCATTCCAGGTATATTCTTAATTAATTACCCTATTAGTAATTGTAATTACGTACTTATTACTATTTTAGGTTGCACCTGCGGAATTGGAAGCGCTTCTTTTGCAGCATCCAAGTGTCACAGATTCCGCCGTTGTCGGTTTGCCCGATGAAGAGGCCGGCGAGTTGCCATTAGCTTTTATAGTCAAAAAGAGTGGTGTCAAAGTTTCCGAGAAGGAACTGTTGGACTACGTCGCGGGAAATGTTTCGCGTCAGAAACGTTTGACCGGCGGAGTTATCTTTATCGAGGAAATCCCAAGAAATCCGTCAGGTAAAATCCTGCGACGTGTCCTCAAAGAACGTGCCAAAGTCATGAAATCTAAAGCCAAATTGTAACTATTATTTTAAATAATTGTAGCTAGTAAATTTTTTAACTGTGATTGTGTCATTATTTTATTGGGTATAAAGAAATAAATGATTATTGTTTTTGGTTTGCATGAATATTTTTTTCATTGTTGTTTGATAGGTATTTAATAAATGAAAATGAAAAAGCATATTGATCTATTTATTTGTAATGAAGTAGGTTTGTAGTTTATCTAAAGCCCTGTATCTGTGGGAAATCTTGTTCTTTTCGTCTTTGGCCATTTCTGCATATGTCTGGTTGTAGCCTTCTGGCTGAAAGCATGGATCCCATCCAAAATCCCTGGGTCCTCTTGGATCCACAATCACTCCTTTGGTGCGTCCTTGGAACAGCACTACTTCATCATCATTTTCACCTGAGTAATAGGCAAAAGTACAAACTGCTTCAGCAGACTTATCCTCAAAGCCATCCAACATCTTGTAGAGTCCTTCAGGTCCTAATTTCTCTAAGAACCATTTTATGTACGGACCAGGCAAACCCTTTAAACCATTGAAACATAGACAAGTGTCCTCCACTATAACAGGTGTATTCAGCTGTTTGTAAGCTTCCATGCACTTTTTAACTGAGATCTCATTAATTTCACCCTGTAGTTCAGGCAAATCCAAACTTTTGTTGTTTAATTCAAAGGGAAAATTACTACCTAAGATCTTCACAATCTCCTCCAGTTTCTTTACGTTGCCGGTCACAAAAGTTAATTTCTTCGACATAATTGGTAGTATTAGATAATTTACTTTCAGCACTTATAAATATAAGGTTAAATATTACTGTCGTGTAAAACAACACTAATAAAGATTTATATATCTTAAAAAATAAGTAGTATAATCGACAGAGCGCGCTATAGATGTGTTTGACTCTGTATGCTGCTGTATGCGGGCCACTTCTGTGGCATGAATCTGCTTAAGTTTCCTCAACGGTTCCGGTACTTCTATTGGTGATGCCAGTCCTGCATATGCATCGAAGTGCCAGTGCAGCGTATGAGTGATCCATAATTTAAATATTCTTAACAAAAACTAGTTTAAATATATTATTTGTACATTGGGTTACCTATTCTTTTATGTTTTTACTATTCTCGTGCATGATACAAATTTCTATCATCAAAGTTATATTATTTTGAAAACATTTGTTATAATGTAAGCTAAATTATCTAAATAGTGTTTCAATAATTAGAATTTAAGATTTTAAAGCAGCATTTTTACCTGATTTATTTATTTAAACTTATTATTGTATTGCTAAGTTAGTAAATTGAAATAAATCAGACATAATATATATAAGCTATAGTTTATATTTTGACATTAAGTGTTATATTTCTCTTTATTGCATTAAACATAAAAATAATTATTAAATTATTATATTTATGTGAATATTATTACTGTTTTTACCAAAATTGGTAATATTTTAAATTGAAAATAGCGCCAAAACGGAAACGATACCAACCCACTTCCTTCATCTGTAAATGGTAATTGAAGTGTTATTGGTTTACAAGAAATTGCCTATTCTGTAGACCAAAATAAGAAATATGGGTGTGTGTAAATAAATATATAGAGGAGTTAAAATCTGTTTAGGTTTTGCTAATCCCTAAGGTATTATCGTATAAATATACTTAATTAGAAGCATTTTCTTGATTTTATAATTTGGATTTTGTATCCTATGTATATTTGATTTGTATGTACAGTATTTCGTAACATTCCTGCATACCGTTTTATTATTTAATTTATCTCTTATATTATAATTATTGAGGGAACTATGTCGCCAACACCTATGCCTGGGTAAGCATGCATTTATTCAAAACATACACTTGAAGACTAACTTGCAATACTAACCAATATACACTACTTAAATATAAGTGATTAATATTATTTACCTGAGATAAGATTAGGAATGACAGTTTGCATGAATCCACATTGAGTTTGTTGAGAAAGTGACTAGAGCAATGTAATAATGTTTCCTGTGAATACACAAGATTTGTCACCCGATGTGCCTAATTTGAAGCCCTTTATGGCCAGTGATTTGTATCACCGCAGAATGGCCAACAGTAAGGCTGGGGGTTTAAAGTATCTGCAATATGGGTGATAGATGCATGATTATATTGATGTTTGTTTTGTTTATATTAAAGTGATTAATTTATTTGTTCCAGAGTTGTGGGCAGTATGTCTTTAAACAACATGCTCTGCACTCGCTGTTGTGAGGGTTTTGAACCCAATGAGAAGATTGTTAATTCTGCTGGAGAGCTGTGGCATCAGGAGTGCTTTGTGTAAGTGACAGTTTGATGTGTTTGATTATGTTATCTATTAAATATTCGAATATTTTAGGTGCGCTCAATGCTTCCAAGTTTTCAAGGATGGAATATTCTTTGAATTCGAAGGTCGGAAATACTGCGAGCACGATTTCCATGTGCTATTCGCGCCGTGTTGCGGGAAATGCGGTGAATTCGTCATCGGAAGGGTGATAAAGGCTATGAACGCCAATTGGCATCCGGGTTGCTTCCGGTGCGAGAATTGCCATACGGAGCTCGCGGATTTGGGTTTCATCAAGAATGGGGGTCGTGCTTTATGCCATGAGTGTAACGCGAAATTGAAAGCTGAAGGGTTGGGCAAATACGTTTGCTATAAGTGCCAGTAAGTTTACGCGATTCGGGTTGGAGAATGGTTTTGTGACATGTTTCGTTTTGCAGTGGAATTATCGATGATCAGCCTTTGAAGTTCCGCGGAGAGGTTTACCATCCGTACCATTTCAACTGCACCCAATGCGGGATAGAGTTGGACGAGAACGCCAGGGAGGTGAGGAGCAGACCTGGCTTTGCGGCCAATGACATGAATGAGCTCTACTGTCTTCGTTGCCATGATAAGATGGGTATCCCAATTTGCGGCGCTTGTCGTCGTCCGATCGAGGAACGCGTCGTGACCGCTCTCGGCAAACATTGGCACGTCGAGGTATTTTCTTACAATTACCGAAATTAAATATCGAATTAAACATTTCCAATTTACAGCATTTTGTCTGCGCCAAATGCGAGAAACCTTTCTTCGGGCATCGTCACTACGAGAAGAAGGGTTTGGCGTACTGCGAGATACATTACCACCAACTCTTCGGGAATCTCTGTTTCGTTTGCAATCAAGTCATCGCCGGCGACGGTAACTTCACTCCACATACACTCGTCAAGAAACATTACTTAATTGTATTCGTTTTGTTTTAGCGTTCACCTCTTTGAACAAGGCCTGGTGCCATCATCACTTCGCCTGCTCCATGTGCGATCAGAAGATGAACCAGAAGACAAAGTTCTACGAGTTTGATTTGAAGCCCGTATGCAAGAAGTGCTACGAGAAGTTCCCCAACGAACTGCGCCGTCGACTTGGCAAGCAGCACGCCGCACAGCAACGCACCTAAGCTCTCGTTGTCAAAAGTAAATCCTTCAAGTGCCTAAAACGAAAGAATTTCGCTTTGCTAGTCGACGCGCATTAGCAGTAGATATTAAGTATTCTTCTAAAGTGCCTTTTAAACTCTCTAATTATCAACTAATGTTATGGTTGTTATTACAAAGCTTTTAATATATATATTTTAATCTTGGTTAGTCGAGGTAAAAATTAACTTACGCAATTATTTACATGACTAGATCGTAATCTATTTACGTACAAACAATTATATCTATAGTAGTACATATTTATTTTTTTCTAATATAATCTGATCTATATTTATATAATACAAAATAATCTGTTGAAGTTTCCAATAATTATGTGTTAATATATATATATACATATTTTACTAAAAGAATATATTCAATATATCTTATTTCATTCTATTCATTTTGTTCCTAATTATTCTAGTTATTAAGTAATCGAATTTATACTTGATTTCTATGGTTTCCATCTAAATTTAATTAACAAAGGTAAGAATCGGGGTCGACGATTTAAAAAAGATATTGTTCTGTGCGCTGCTCTAAATCCGTTTTTTTCATTGTGTTTGATAATACAATGGGTGTTAAAGTATTTTATATATATGTAGAATGGATGATAACGCGCTTAATGATTAGATAGTCCTGAAATAATAGGTTCAAAGGCAAAGGTATATAGATTCGATCATTGCATTATGATATTGCTCATTACTATTTTGACTTTTGATCTTTGTGTCATGCGCTCCAGAACATTGCCGCGGATGGATGACTAAGAGAAAGCTGCTTTCTGCTCACTATTTCTATAACATTGGAAGAGTGTGGTGTATAGTGTGTAGTAGCTCTCTGTGCGAAGGATATATTCGTCGGTGTGCGTTTTCTTTGTTTTGTTTTTTCTCTTCTCCGGGGAATTAAACTGGTCTTAGTATGAGAATATGCGGATCCATTCAACAATGAAAACAGGTAATTGAATTGTTTTCAATAACACTTTGAGATCATCCATTTCCGAGAAGAACAAAAATATGTCTTAAGAAAAAAAACCTCATTGATGCGTTTCGTGCGTTATAACACAAAACAAACAAATTATGTACTTTCTTAGTAAACAAAAGATAACTGCGATTGAATGAATCAGAACCAATTAACTTTTCTACTTGACATTAGTTTAAATTTAAATGAATATTGAATAAACTTTACTTTTTGCATAAGACAACTTGTTTTGCGAAGGTAAGAAAAAATGTTTTGTAAAAAATTGCAAATTAAAGTATGCATTTTATATTTATTTTATATTAATTAATTATATCTAACGACTTTTCACAGATTAATCACTATTACTGCGTCAACACGCAAATGATTAAAACACTTCCTTACGTATTAAAACATTTCAAGATTATAAAACTTGTATTACATTTTACCAGTTATAAAATAAATATTTGAAGTATTATGTTAAGAACAAAGTATGTGTTAATTTGATAAACAGGTTATATTTAGCCAATTATTTTTGAAACACTTTAGTCAAGGATATTTAAAATCTCATGATGAAAACTGCTACAGTGATTGATTAATTTAATTATAAATTATTATATAATCAATCAATTCTTATTAACAATGTTAATAACTAGTTATTAAACATACATTATTTCCATTAATGTGGCGCATACTTATAATTACCTTTTAGCAGATGCAATAATATCTTTAATTTAATTATAAAAATTTAAATAGGAAATTTAGCTCTCTTAACATTGATAATGATTATTAAAACTTATAATTAAAAATGCATACCTTCCGCTTATTTTGCGCATATTTTTAAATGTATTGAAGCAAAATTTCAGTTCAAGGTGGGCATAATATTTCTACTTTAATTTTAGAGTATTGCAAGTAGTGAACTTGCGAATCTTGGTTACATAATAAATAATATACAAGTATTTCGTAAGAAAACTCGTTGTTTCTGGACTTTCAACGTTGAATCACAAGATTGCCGTCGAATTATATAATACACTATAAGCATTTTGAATGAATGAATGCAATAATTTATGTGTAAGTGATTTCGTCGTTATCAATATAATAGATTAAAAATAATATCTAAAGTGCAGTGATATTTTAGTAAAATTTTATTAACAGTATTTGCATTTGTAACGTGTTTTATTTCATGTACAGCAAGACGTTATTTAGTGGAGTAGTGCGTGATCGTGTATAATTTTAAGTCATGATAACTTTACTATCTATTATTATATTTATAAAGAAAACATATTTTGTTTTTTTACTTCCGGCAAAAATATTTATAAAATATACAAAAAATGTATCAATTTGTTGCTGTAACTTAGAGATAAGGAACTATACATATATTTCTGAAGCATTATCTATTTGTAAATTATACTTAAGAAATCATTTGCATTTTATTTAAAGAAAGTTAAAGTTTACTTTTGCGTAATTTAAATGATTTTGTAAATTAAATCATATCGTATTTACTAAATGAAATGATCCAATCTGTTGTAAATCAAATTATATATATTGGTGAAACATTCATGAAAATAAAGCGAAATATTCATTTTCAATTCATATAGATTAATGGCTAAATAGGACGATCTACAGAAATTGATGATCCAGGAATTTACAAATAACTTCCTGTTGTTCAGGTTATTCGTTTAGGAAAGGCTGATAAACTTGCGCACTTTCAGTGCGTTTATCTGAATTTCAGTATTCAGTATTTTTCATTAATATATGACTTCAAGTTGTTGAAACAAAACTATTTATAAAAATAAATAGCTTAGTTTCACCAGATTCTAAGCATTGTCTTTCAAGTTGTTGTTGCATGATTCAGTGTACCGTTTAAAAGTTTCAAGCGGATTGGTGTTATCGTCATTTGGGTCGAACGCTATCAGTTTTTCTTCTGTTTGAAAGCAGAGATTTAGAGCATAGATTTTTCTTGAGTTTTTGCTTTACATAATATTTTTTTATAAATTAATTTACAATTAATTGAAAGTTGAATTAACGAAGTAAGACAAATTCTGATCAAATTAAGAAAATGATAAAAAATGACAAATATACATATCCTATAAATTTTGTAAATATAAACAAAATTGGTAAAAAAATATATTTTATAATTCTTGTAAAGAAAATATAATCGGAAGATTTAATCAAACATTATTTAATATATTATAACTAACTTAAATCAAAAGCAAAGTGATTAATATTGAATAAGAAATTTGAGATGAATGACCAATTGATAGTATTACTTACATTGTACCATATTTTTTTGTGTAATCTTGAAACATTACTACTTAAGATTGTGGTTTGAATCATGATACTGATTTCTGAATGAGTGTGTATCTCAAATACATTTTCTTCCAGTATTGGTATTAGGATTGGCTGTGTGCCTGTGGACGGCGATCGTGGCGCAGGAGGAGGACGAAAATTTCGAAAGATTATCGTCGGAACTGAAGCTGATTAAATGGGATTTGGAGGATGAATGCAGCGATATCGCAGACAGTATCAAAGAATTCCACTTGGACATCGTTAACAGCCTACACAACAAAGTAAACATTGTCTTGTTGCTCATTTACAGTTAAGTTGAACAATCTCTTCCTGATTCCAGATTGTCATGGAGACAACACACGCTAAATTTATACGCGAGCAGTCTCCTAAGCTGATGAAGTTCGAGGACAACGTTCACTACGATCTGGAAAAGACGTGGAATCTCCTCATAAAACCTGGTGATCTACTTCTATCTAATGAAGATTACAAAAAGGTAAGAGGCAATCAGATTTATTTACTAATTCTTAATGTACTAATTAGTAAATCTAACTGTGTAGTTGAGCGAATTTGCTAATGCCAATCTGATGAGAAAGAAGAACCAAGGATACTCGATCGAAAGTAATTCTTCCACTTATCAATGGTAATTCGGTTTATTGATATTTTTGTATCTGGGTTTTAGAAAGCAAAGATGCCGATAAATTGGAAGAAATGTGGATGGTCAAATGGGAGAACGTTTCGACGGCCGAAGAGTATCCAAGCATCTTGGGGCTGGTCAATAAAGCAGCGCAATTGAATCGTGTGAGCTGCGATAAAAGCTTCTGAAGGAAATTCGCTAAATATCAATTCTTTATTACAGAGCAGTATGACGCCAAAAGTTATTGGGAGATGCTGACGGAGATTGATAACGCTTTTGGTAAAGCCGAGGAATTGTGGAACGAAATAGCTCCGCTGCATGAGAAGTTGAAGAACTTTGTGCTTGTGCGTTTGAATAAGCACTATGGTACCAATTTCACTGATCATATACCAGCTTATCTAATTGGTAATATATACAATAATAATTGGAAAAAATTTAGAACCAAAATATCTATATTTTTTCCAATTATTTATAAAACTAATAAAATATCAAAGACCTATAATAATAATAATACTTCTGAATCAATATTTTATATTGATTGTATACCCTAGGTTATCCCAAACTATTTTCCGCGGTGCCCCAGAATTTTCGCACAGTTTGAAAATTACTGGTACAACCCAACCAATATTATAAAATAGTCTAAATCCTAAATTCGTTTAATTTGCTATTAACGATTAGGTGATCAGTATATATTACTATCTGTACAATCATTTGAAAACTATGTCAATTGTGTTTTTAGAATTAATTTTTGATTTTATAACAATTCAATCTGTCTATAACGTTATGTAAATTTTATATTGTTGTTTTAAATGTACATATTTGAATTGAATGATACGCTTTTTAAACCAGTATTTTTTGTAGTAATTGTATTTGAATTTGTTAGATGATATCATTTCTAACCGATTGTCGATTGTGAGGTCTTTCAACTGCGCCGTGTAAATGAGTTAAGAATAATTATTGGAAAATTGTTTTATAATTTCAAATAAATATAATACGGAAGCGGAAATGAGACTGAACCACATAATTTAGTTCAATGATTTTGTTGATATATACAAATATAAACAAATTATTTTAGAAACTAAGATAAATTAATATAATTTATATTAACTGATTTATAGAGCCTGGAGATTGGAGTTCGTTAGCTGACATTGTGTTACCACATCCGCAGATGTTGAATGACGTAAATACAGAATTATTGGATAAAGTAAGCGTTATCTTCTGTTTGATTGAATGAAAATAACTTCAATTTAACTTTTTTCGAAGGGGATTAGGAATTCGTTTAAGAGCGCCGAGGGTTTCACGAAAGCCATCGGTCTCGGTCGTTTTGGAAAGAAGTTCTGGCTGGAGAGCAAGTTTGATCTGACGGCATGCGAAAAACGGGCCGTCGGTCTTCATTTTTGTACAGATAATACTGCAGAGTGAGTACGTTTTAATTTAAATTAAACCAATATAAAAGATATTTCTAAATATTTTGTAAGTAGTATTGCAAAGCATTGAAATTCACTATAAATAATGTTGTCTACCTACTAATTTAATTTTGAAATTAAGCAAGTTACAAGTGTCAGTTAAGTGAAATGAAAGATTCATGTTAATTGTTTATACATATCTTATTTTAGATTTCTTAAATCACAAATAGAAACTTCGAATTAGTACGGATCATTTTAAGTAGATTTAAATGTAATACATTTATTTATGTTATGGACAAAACCATTTCTCGAGATTGCTTATCGTAATTTACTGTATTATTTAATGTTAGAAATATGATTGCAATTATGATTCACTACAAAATCATTTACTCCATTGATATGTCGCATATTTCTTCTAAGAAATATTCACTTTCGTGAGAGGTTGTATGAAAGTCATTTATAAATATATATATGAGTGGTCAAAGTAAATTGCATAAACGTTTCTTAAACCGATTTATAAATTTTATGACACAAATAAAAAAAACACTTACGAAAATAATCTGAATAATAAGTCTTGAATTACATTTATAAAAATATAATAAAATTTAATAAATAAATTATTTAATAGTTTATGACGCAAATATTTAAATATTTTTTGTTATTTTCAGAGTTTTGACTTGCAACAGAAGTACTTTGGTATCTCACGTAGGTGCTTACGAATTGGGTACGGATCTAATGGTGAAGCGCATTGGTTCGCGTCCTTTAAGAAACCTGCGATACTCTTCGGCCGAAGAAACACTGGTCTCCTTGAGCTCATTGCTGTCTATGCAGAATTTACCGTCGGATGGTTTACTTGATGATAAATACTTCGAGAAGGAGATTAACAGGAAGACTGCTCTTCTCCTCACTGCGTTGAAGGTTCTACCCGCTTTGGCGTACTACCGGGCCGCAGATGTTTGGAGGCTGGAAGAACTGCAGAGTCCGAGCGGCGATATCCAAGACAGCTGGTGGAAAAATAGGTAAATAATAATTATATACAAAAAGATCTTTTTTTTATAGTTTTTATTGTAAATTTTTTTTTTTTGACAATTTTGTGTTTAGTATGTCTCGAATATATCCATCATATTTCAGCTGATTTTCTAACTAATAATTACCGACTGGAATACCTTATTCTCGTTTAAAAGTACGCTCACTAATGATTATTTTTAGAACTTTGCCCGAAAAAACATACGTACAAAAGTACACTGGTCAGTCGAACAATTCGGATGCTGTACTGATCATTCAGATTGTGTAAACTTGTGAAATATATAGGAACTTAATTATATAAATTACTATGGGCCTGTACTTCCAACATATTTAAATTAAATGATCACGAAATTTGTTTCAGATTAAAGTTAATTACAATCTAATTTAAAGATAATTGATGAATATTCAGTTATATGTAATTTAATTGTTATTATTGAAATTTTCAGGGAGCAATTTGAAGGTGTCAGCAGTTACGGTAACAAATTTGCTGACTTCTTGGACGATGAAGAGATTCTCTATAATAAGCCTTACATTAGGTATATTGAATATAATAATTTAATTAATTTAAACTAATCTATAAACACACTTTTTAGTAAATTTCTTGCTAAATTTCTTCAATTCCAATTGCTGAATTACTACCAAATCAATTTGTTTCAAGACAGCACTAATGTGGCGAAGAAATTCCAGAATGACGCTACGTTCAAGTAATTTGCATATATTAGTAACTGTGAATATATTCAAACTGTTCATCATTTTTTAGAGATATGCTCGAAGATTTACCGAACAGGGATTCGTTGGATCTGTTGAGCTACCACTTTTCCATAGACGATGTCAGCGCGTATCCTTTCCAAGAGTTCTTCTACTCTTTGGAGGAATATTTGGATAACGCGCCGTTGCATCAGGCGCCCATCGTGATGACGACGAAAGCGCCTAAGGTTGCAAAGAAGCATTTGCCTGCAACAACGACGTCAACAACCACGACGACAACGACGACGAAGAAGCCGGATGCAGTGAAACCAAATCTGAGTCCAGATCTTATCGAAGAGGACATTAAGCAGGCTACTGGATCTGGCACTTACATGGGCGGTTTCCTAGTGACGTGCGCCGTCCTTCTGGTGGTTGGCATCATCATCTGGAAGATGAAAAAAAGGAAACCAAATAGGCCGCAGAATAGACGGGACGAAGTTTGATACTGTGCGGAGACCAAAGAAAAAGACACTTACTAGTGATGTGATGTTGTAAATTTTATATATATATATAACGACCAACTAAATTAATTAATTATTTAATAATATGTTCCTATATAAATATAATAATTTTATACGAAAAATTAGGAAAATTTGAAAAATTTATTTATTTATAAGCAGCAGTGAGTATTATTAAAGAATATTAGTTAATGGCGAAAATAAATGTATTTTTTAATATGCAATGGCAATTTTCAAGTTATGAGATGGTAAGTCAAACCTGTTTTTACATGATTTGACAATAAAACGTTTTTCGTCAAATGGGATATTTCTTTAGCTGTAACTTAACATTTTATGTCATTGTCTTATCCAGTCAGTATTATGATTTATACAAAAAACGGGTTTTCGAATTTCAACTTTTCTACAAAACTGGAATAAACCAGTTTTCCAATTTTCAGAATAAAACGTCATAGAAAAGATGAGAGATACAAATTCAAAAATACATTATACAAGAAAATATTTACAACTAGTATTTATACAGTGGAAGTCGAGTTTGCTTGGGGAGTGGTGACCAGCCGTTTTTCGAGGACAGTTGTAACGTTAGGAGAGAAGAATATATTTCGGATGAAATCGGAAGCAATCGAAATCATTCGGAACTTTTTCAAATGTATGCGATTACAAAAATGAATGTTCCAATTCAAATTTTCAATCTATAAAATCTTCCTCCATTGTTGGATAAGTAGGCGATCCATATTTTCCGAATGAAAAACGCAAAGTGATCGTTGACCAACGCGAAAAAGCTAAAACAAACAAGGTTATCATGATTGAGTTTACACATACGTATTTTTTTTCATAAGCAGTAAAGTATAGTGAACAACCAACATCATGTCAGCGAAGAATAAAAATTTCGAAGAAATGCCGGCTTCGCAGGGAAGCCCTCATCCACCTGCGAGTCCGCCGTGTAAGTGGAAAATCTCAGAGGAAAATCGTACTGTTTAATGGTAAACAGTCGTCTGTTCAACTTAATGGATCAAGTAAACATATTACAAACAAATAATTACAAATTAATAAATTAGAGGACTTGATTAATTTGGAAAAACAAGTACAAAAGGTCATTGGCAATAGTTGTAACAATAATTGTTGTGTTGTTATATGGGTTAGAAGATACACGGACACTTGTACTGTTTAATCTATACCTCTATATTAATCTCACGCACTGATATGAAAAATCATTCTCAATAGTAAATTCATCTCTGTTAAATTATCTTTACAGAGTTTTGTTTGAACTGTACAATTAGAATGTACATATTTTTTAATTAATAAATTCTACTTCAGCGAGATCCAGGCTAAAAAAAACAAGAGGATCTGCAGTGATGTTACGCATCAAAGTTCAAGATTCTTCAAGACGACCTCAGCACCAGCAGAAATCGTATCGACAGTCTGAAAAACAGAATCAGCGATCTGGAGTTCGTCGATAAAAATAAATTGTTCGATAAACGGATATCGATTATACATAAAGATGTGGCAAAGCAGAGACAGAATATAGCTAATTGCAGGATATTGGTCCAGTCCGGAGAATGTGGACTTTATTTCTATCCTCGTAATTTGTAGAATACGTTACCTATTAAATTACCTAACATTTATGAACGAAAATATAACTATTCTTAAGAATTTTAACACATTCACTTTAACATACCTGATAATAGATGTATTATAAAATAAATTTATTATTAATTATATATTTATGCTTTATCATTTATTTATAAGAATTTGAATTAATATATTTTTCCGATGTCCTGTTTTTAAGCTGTTCTCTTTTACTGCTATTCTGTTATATCACTGTTGGATTTTTTTCGCTATTCTATTTTTATGCTGTTCTGTTTTAGTATTTTATCGCTGTTTTGTTTTGTCCTGTTCTCTTGTATTACGTTCTTTTTTAACCTGTCCTGATATGTTACGTTCTGTTTGGTCCGGTCACCGTATTCTACGGCATATATTGGTTGGTTGGCAAGTAAGTGATTGCGAATTTTGTTAATAGTTGGTCTTAGCACATTCTTTTGTTTTATCAACGTGTTCGTATTGTTTTCTTGTTGTTCGGACCAGTTTAGACTTCCACTTTTAGTTTAGTAAACAAATGTATCGATTAATAAGACGCGCATTTGTACTATTTCTGAAAATGCAAGAACGCATCGCAAGTACATAAGAAGTTATGTGCCGTATATGGGAATAAAGGCTGATAAAAGGTAATGTCAAAATTGGTTTTTATGTTTTAAGTTCTAAGTTTTTCAGTTGAAAATAAACCGCTTTTAAAAACTGTCTGTCTCTTATACATCAAAGGTAATTAAATAATATTTTATGTAACTGCAGTAAGACTTCGTTTAAAGCTGCTTCCAATGGTGAAAAATATGTTGACAAATAGAATTTTTCTAGAATTTAGTTTCAGATCCAGTTTCTGTGTATTATTCAGTAAAGTTAAGACAATGACAGAATATAAACAGTTTATTGATAAGATAACCACTTAAGTATTAATTATTCCTAGTAGAACAAAGTCATCGATGCGTATGCGAATACATGGTAAAGTACCTTTTTTTACGTATCGATTAAAGATTTGTTTATACCAGGTCACCCATTAAAAATAGGGATGTCGTGCGATCGCCAAACTATAAATAATTGTACGTGTAGATATGCGTTGCACAAACACACACAATTAGAATTATATCACGCGATCAAAAGCCAAAACAAACAGTCGATCGAAATAATCGATAGAGTCAAACGATGATCGTCGCGTTGTTGCACTTAGTGATCGTGTTGACGTCTGGCGCTGCGAGCGGCTTGCTGGAAGTCTCGTCGAAACCCCAGGTGCTGGTGGTCTCAGAGGGGATGACGACCAAACTCGATTGTCCCAGCAACGACGAGGATCATAGCTTCATGTTCTGGAAATTGGCACACGGAGCGGCCATCATCGGACCAGGCAACGATTACGATAAGATAAAGTTCGACTACGAAATACTCACGGGCAAATTGCTAATACGGGTAGGTAATACGAGAGCAGCAGAGGAAAATAAAAACGAGATCTAAATGATTTGGAATTCAATCTGCAGAAAGCGGTGGCAGGTAAAGATGACGGTCTCTACGAGTGTGTTTCCCGCGGAGTCCACGACGACGAGATTCAGATCCGCACAGTCCACTTGATCATCCGTAAAGATTGGAACCACGTATTCGAACACGATCAATCGGTAACTCAAACATTAAACTTAGAATCAACCTATTCCTTGATTAACTTCCAATTTGCAGGTGAATTACTTCAGGATTGCGGTCATAAGCGGAACCATATTTATTCTCATCGTCGTCTTCTTCATGGTTTACAGAAACCTATCCAAAAGGAAATCGCGCAATTATTTGGGTATTACCAATTCGATTTTTATTGAACTTCTTCTAAACTCTTTTCTTTTAGAACAATACGATGATGAAGAGGAAGATATTGTTTCGGATATCGAAGATTTCAATGCACCGGGACCGTCGAATCTTGGAAACATCGTGTTGAAGGAGAAGAGGCCGATAGAAAAACTTAACAGCGGATTCGAAAATCCTACCTTAACTACAACAGTCTTAATCAACACCACCCAATAACCATGTCATTAATCGATATTTTTTAATTTAATATAATTATGTGTAATTATAATAATATTGTTTAATTTAATGGTTATACCAATATATGTTATTAATGTTAATCTTGTTTTATTCAACTTTGATAAATTTAAAAATAATAAGCAGAACAAGCTTGAGATATCACTCACTACTTAAAATATTTATTTACATTATAATGAAATATTTAATGAGATGTACAACAAACAATGGCCGTAGTGATTTTTTTATTTCATGTTAATAATAATTATCTACGGATGATACTCAGTGTTTCATCACTAGCAATAAATAATTCATTTAATAGTTACAGTATGAATAATAATTACATACTCTGTAATTTCTGGAAAAATAAATTATTCTCTATTAACTTTCTGCGAAACACCAGTGTTTTGGACAAAGGATTAAATTATGCGTGTGAATGGAAGAAATTGTTGTGATTTCAATATGGCGTTTTATTAACTACTTACACCACTTCTTATACTATACATAGTACAATACTATTCAACTAAAGTCAGTAAAACTTCCACTCATATTTGCTCCATGCTTATCCATGCTTAACTCGTCCGAGCTAAGCTTCTTCGACAGCTTCATGATGTACATTGTTGTCTTCTTTTACAACCACTGTTGTGCTCAAACAACCAGTGGTTCGTGAAACTAAGTATGGGATATCCAGTGATCGATATAAACTAATTGTTAGAAGACCTGTAAGTCTAAGCGTGAATACAAAATATTAAAATCAAAATAACCCAACAACGCAATTAACCCAGGTAATAATAATATTATAATAAGTTCAATTATCAATAATAGTGTTCAAATAATAATTCATTTCTGTTTACAGACTCTTGAGCAATTCGAACGTGATGGATGCGAAAACTGTGATCGTTTTCTGAAAATGAAAAT